GATATAAAGTAGGGGATCAATTCTATTTTCTGATAATCACTTGATTGATACAAATTAATACAGAAGTTTAAAAGATTTAAAACAAATTATTCTAATTAAAATTTTTAAAAATTCTTGTAAAAATTCATCATTCATTGAAAAACAGATGTGATAAAAAAAAAAAAATATATCTAACAAGATTTTCCAAAACATTTCTAAAATAATTTCATACATTTTTGAATAAGATCTGACAGTTTCATAAAATCCAACAATTATTTGATTTTTGCAAGAATTTCCAATCGGTGTTTTTCACTGCAAAAAACATAAACTAATTTTTGGTCCCCTGCTGATGGAAGAACAACAAGATTTTTAACCAAAAGTTTGAAAGTTCTAAAAAGGATCAAAAGATACAATTAATATTCAAAAATTCCTTTGGTCTTTCCTCTTAATAATAGCATAAAAATTTTAATGAGAAAGGTTTGTTTTTATTAAGTTTGGGGCCATTTTTTTCATTGTGGTATGCTAATTTTTATAAATAATATACCCAATATATAATATAAATATATATATATATATATATATATATATATATATATATATATATATATATATATATAATAATATAAAATTATTATATATATATATATATATATAATATAAATAATATATATATATATATATATATATAATAATATAAAATTATTTATATATTATATATATGTGCAGTACTTATTGGAAAGTGCTCAATATTAATGATAGAGCTTACATATATAGACATATTTCATTGAATAATTTAGACAAGCTACTTATTTTCAATAGGATCCTTTCATTACCATGTTAATACATGTTTTTTATTAAAAGTACTTTCGACATTAGCACAATGTCATCATCAGGGTGCTGTTTTTTTTTTTTTAAGACAAATATAGTAGTCTTCATCATTTTCAAAGACAAAATTGCTTTGTTCATCTGAAAGCTTGTCCGTGAATATGAAAGGATTCAATTGAAAATAAAACTTGTCTAAATTATTCACTGAAACATGTCTCAATGAAAACATGCTGTCAAAATATACTCTCTCTCTCTCTTTATATATATATATATATATATATATATAATGTTTGGTAATGATTACATTTGCTATTTCCTTATAAGGAAACATTCTGCATTCTTTGACTGGAAAGTTAATGTTACTTTTGGTTGAAATTTTTATAAAATCTTTCTCTTGAAACAGTTTTTCAAGAAAATAGGTCTCTGAAATCCACTGTTGTCACTCTTTTCAGTACTGATGGAGGTTTCCTTCCTAACCTTTTGTTTAGGCAGCAAATATTCATCCAGACAAGTGTATCCGTATCATATGAGGTCATCTGCAAAACCTGAATTTGAGTGTCCAAAAAAGAAAAGCAAAAAAAAAGATACCAATATGTAGCCAAGAAAATCCTATCTACCAGACTGATAACACCCAGTTCTTGTTAATGGCTGAGATGGTTGAAAGAACTTGAACAAAAATGGATCAAAACCTGAATTTTGGATGATTTCTTCAAATTTTGGTCCCAATGTACATCTTATTTGGAAGTTGGAAAAAATCCAGTAAACTTTGTTGACTGACTTTAGCAAAAGATTTGTGTGTGTGTGTCTTTTTCCAATGCCATCAATTTGATTTTGGGCCAAGTCCTCAAATAATCTGTTCCTTGCTAGAAGTGTCAAGTTGTACATAATCCCATTATATTTGGCATTTATGATACGAGTGATTTAATAATATGCTTCTGGCTTATTAATTATTTATCTCACATATTTCTAAATCGTCAGCACTGTTAAAAACGTAAATATCTCTCAAATTAAATTCTATGATAAATGTCTTAGCAGGCTTCCCTGAATGTTCCACATGTAACAGCTTCATGTAAAGTGAGTGATATTTAGCCTTTATAAAGTGTTGTATTCCTGTTTTTGGAAATGAAGACACAATATACAGTGGTCTAAGAAAAGTTTTTAGCCGGGAGAAATAAACGGCATCCAGTTTCAAAATTTAATTACACAATCCCAACTCAACATTAATAAACAGTATTTGGATCTTGTATAGAATAGGTTGTCCATTTGCTAGTTTCAATGCTTGTATTTGATTTTTCATGGATTTGATCAAGTTATCAACAATTATCTGATCCATATTTTGCCACTCCTTTAACAATGTTTCTTTAAGGGTTGCCACTGATGTGATTTTGGTTGCACGCTCTCAAAGTTTTCGGTCAAGGTGCTCCCAAATGTACTCTATTAGATTCATATCATGGCTTTAGGCTACCCATGGCAGTGACTTGATTCCTTGCGATTCCTTCCAGGCCTTTGCTACTTTACTCGGATGACATGGCGCTCCATCTTCTTGAAAAAGGTAGACATTCTTGTTAATCTGATGGTTTCAAATAGTGGGAGTAGTCCTTTCTCTAATATTTGACAGTATTTTGGACCATTCAATTGCTCATCAACAAGAATCAGCTCAGATTTCCCTCCAAAGCAGACAGCACCTCACACCATTACTCCAATCTTTCCATATTTCACAGTCACCTGCAGACATTCCAAGTCTCATTCTGATTTCTTCAAACATAAGCCTGTCTCGAATTTGAATATTGGCAGAATTTACTTTCATCTGAGCAAATTACAGACTCTTTGCTCTCGGATTCTCTTGCCCAGTCCATAACATGTTCCTGTTAACCTTTGAAATCAAGATCTTCTTTCTTGCAACTCTTCTTTGATAGCCTAGCTCTTTCAGAGTCTTTCTCACTGCATATGGCGACATTTTCATGTTGTTGGAGGTATCCTTGACTCTCTGAGGACGGTTTCTGATGACTTCCCTATTCAGCACCCTTTTCGTTTTCTCAGACATGATGCTTAGTCTTCCTGAACATTGTTCCATACGACAATGGCCTTCTTTATTAAATTTCATGACAATGTTATTAACCGTTTGTTGATTAACCTGGAAAAACCTAGCAATTTCTCTATTTGACTTGCCACACTGATGCCATCCTATTATTTGCCCTCGTTGAAATTCACCAATTTCTCTACTTCCACGAACTTTCATTGCAAAATATAAATCAACTATCGTTCATAGATGAGAGTAGCTTGATACTAACATGGTAGAATCTGAAAAAAAAAGAAGAGACGTAATTACACAACCCAAAATTGCTGCAGTCAAGGGTGGCTAAAACTTATCATAGCTCACTGTACAGTCTTGCCAAAGATTGGATGTATTTTAGAAATTGTTTCTTACATTTTGTTTTCTGCTTATATGAAGTGAAATGATTCTATTGAATCATTGGCTAGGTCTGCTGCTAAGAAAGTTAGTTTACTGTGTCATACTAGACAATTTTTCTCTCCTGAATCAATCTTACATATTTATAAGTCTACCATTCATCCATGCTTTGAATATTATTGCCACATCTGGTCTGGTGCTTCTGCTATATATTTAGATCCTTGATAAAAGCCAAAGAATCAACAGTATTATTGGTCCTGATCTGGCATCTTGGCTTCAGTCATTTTCCCACTTCTTTAATGTATCTTCCCTGTCCCATTTCTATAAATATTTTCATGGTAATTGACCTGATAAGGTTTCCTCTTTGGTGCTTCGACTTCATGAATTTAAGTGCAGTACTAGATTGGCAGCTAGGTCACATCATTTCAATATTGAAATTGCTAGATGTAAACATAAGTTCTATGCTAATGGTTTCTTCTCTTGCACTTCTTGCTTGTGCAAACCTCTCTCAGCCTCTTGCTTTCCAGTCAATTTTGATCTTCAAAAATATAAATGCAATGTCAATCATCATTTTTTTTTTTTTTTTTTTTTTTTTTGGCTTAGTTTTAGTTCTTTAATTGTTCTCTCAATGTAATGTTTTCCTTTTTCTTATATTATTTTACACTCAGTAGTTTTGGTGGGTTTATTTCCTTGCTTGAGTTAAAATGATTAAAAATAATACTAATTCTATTGTGATAACATCACTGACTGAAGAATCACCAGATATAGAATAGGCTATTTTGGCAGTCCCAGTAAAATAGGTAACAAGGCTAATATTCCAGTAAGTATAGTGTTGTAGAACTTATATATATATATATATATAACGTGTATAATATAGTTACATTAGAACATATAATTGTTACAAAATTGTACATTTTGTTTGATGTTTAATAAACAATGTTTATTTTAAATTAATGCTTTGAATGTTGAAATTTTGTTGTTTTACGTTTGTGTGTGTGTTTTATTTCAAATTCATAAAATAAACAATATAGCCATGAAACTCAATATTGGGGATAAAACCAACAGCATGTCTGTCTGAAAATGTGTCAATCCAGAAAATCCAGATATTTTGAACCAGATAGTTGGAAAGCTGTGCAATATGTTTATGGAGCATTGAAATCATTAGTAAAATGGCGGTGTGAGTTGTGTAGGCAGGACTTGAACAACATGGATTCTTTGATCTGTGACTATTGTCTTCAGTGGCTGCACCTGTAGTGTATTGGCAAGAGAACCATGCCTAAGGGCAAGTTTGCGATTTGCAAAGACTGTTATGCCTGAAGTGCTTAAAATATTCAAAGACTTCCATATTTCTTTTAATAATTGATGATGAATAAATGATTTTAACTTGTCTTTTAACGATTGATGGTGGAAAAGATTTTAAATTGTCTTAAAAATTGATGGTGAATATAAATAAATTTCTCTGCTATTTTTAACATTTCCTGCCTTTATGAGAAAAAAATATTTACCAGCAAAATATCTTAGGGATCTGTTTTTCTTTTTTCATTTCTTTTTTTCCCCTTTTTCACATTTTTTTTAAAAACTAAGAAATTTCTCTCTTTCACCAAAGTTTTTCTCTCTTCCCCTGGTTTTTAAAAGAAAAGAATTCGTTTTTTTCTCTTCCCTGTTTACTCTTTGGAAATTTTCTCTCTCTTTCCCTCGTTTTCTCTCTCTTCCCCTCGTTTTCTCTCTTTAAAAATTTATTTCTCTTCCCTTTTTTTCTCTTCCCCTCGTTTTCTCTCTTCTTTAGATGATTTTCTCTCTCTCAAATTCATTTTTAAAAAAAAAAAAATTTTTTCTCTTTTCCCTCATTTTCTCTCTCTTCCCCGTTTTCTCTCTTTCCCCTCATTTTCTCTCTTCCCCCAAATTTTTTCTCTCTATCTCGTTTTCTCTCTCTTCCCTGTTTTCTCTCTCTTCCAAAATTTTTCTCTCTTTTTTTTCATTTCTCTCTTTTTCGTTTTCTCTCTTCCCCTATTTTATTCTTCCCCTATATTGAATAAAAATTCCCTCATTTTTCTCTCTCTTCCTGTTTTCTCTCTCTTCCCCTCGTTTCTCTCTCTTCCTATTTTTTCTCTCAAAAAATTTCTTCCCTGTTTTCATTTTCCCCCTCGTTTTCTAAATTCCCCTCGTTTTCTCTCTCTTCCCTTTTAAAAAATCTATAGATTTTATTCTCTCTTCCCCTCGTTTTTCTCTCTTCCCTCGTTTTCTCTCTCTTCCCTTCATTTCTCTCTCAAATGTAGAATTTTTCTTTTCCCTCGTTTTTCATTTTCTTCCTAGAATTTTTCAATTCTTCCCCTCGTTTTATCTCTCTTCCCCTCTTATTTTCTTCAATTATCAAAAAATCTCTCTTCCCCTCGTTTTCTCTCTAAAATATCGTTTTTTTCCCTTTTTTTCTCTGAATTTAAAATTTTTCTCTTCCCTCGTTTTTCTCTCTTCCCCTCGTTTTTTTCTCTCTCTTCCCTCAATTAATTTTTCTTTAATAAATTTTTTCTCTTCCCTTTTTTCTCTCTCTTAAAATAATTTTTTTAAATTTTTAAATCTTTTCTCTCTCTTTTTTCGTTTTCTCTCTGGAATAATTTTTCTCTCTCTTCCTTGGTTTTCTCTCTCTCCCTTCGTTTTTTTCTTCCAAATTTCTCTCTCCCCTCGTTTTCTTTTCCCCTCGTTTTCTCTCTCTTCCCCTCGTTTTCTCTCTCTTCCCCTCGTTTTCTCTCTCTTCCCCTCGTTTTCTCTCTCTTCCCCTCGTTTTCTCTCTCTTCCCCTCGTTTTCTCTCTCTTCCCCTCGTTTTCTCCCTTTAGGTTTTGCCTTTTCGTTAATTGAATTTATCCCAAGCAAGGCAGTAAATCACTAAGACACAAGGAAGGGGGTTACTGCGTATGAAAGAATTTAGAAAACGGAAAACATTAGGGCGTGAGAACAGCAGAAGAGGAATCGGGAAGACAGTTGATGATTGACATTACATTAAAATTTTTAAAGATCAAAGTCGGCTGGAAAGCATGGAGTCGGAAGAATGTTCCACGAGAAGTGTGAAAAAAAACTTAGGATAGAACTTTAAACTATGATTTCAGAAAGTGAAAATTTTACTGAAATATGTTGGAAAATTTCTAAGTTTTTATTTGAAATCAAGAAAAAAATATTGGTGAAAAATATGTGGAGGTTTGCGACCATATCATTGAAAGACTGGTTCTTGTACAACCAAGTTCAGCAATGGAGAGCCTGGTCTATACCTATACGGGTGACCACTTGAAAATACCAGCTGCTATAAGTTTGGATGTGCAGGTGGTGTAATGGATAATGGCTTGGAATTGTTAATCGGAGAGCAGTTCTAATTCTTGTTGCACTTGTTACATTCACTTACATACAAATTCTCTTGGGAAAGGTATGAATCCACCTCTTCCCCCATCTATGGGTTAATTAGTAAGACTTGTATCACTAAACCATTATTTCACAAAAATCAATTCTTCCCATGCAAAAAATATTTTCTGGTTTTAAATAACCTAAAAAAGGCTTAATAAGCCATAGAAAATGAATGAATCAATGAAATGCAGATTAGCTACACAGGTATGTCATTTAGATGTATTTACATTCTCTGGATATATAAAAGTATAGAAATTACTGTGGTCACAAAGTGGGTGATCACTTTATATATTGATCATAATATGAAATTGATCTCCCACTTTATATCCATATTTCTTGTTTATTAAATTCTCATTAGGTATGAATCTACCTTTTCTCCTCCCTGCTATGGGTTAATTAGTATTCCTAAACCATTATCCTAACCAAAAACAATGTCCTTACAATCTAAAAATATTTTCTGGCTTTAAATAATCTGTAACAGGTTGATAAACCATGGAAAATTAATAAATCTATCAACAATATATGGAAAAAAAAAAAAGATCAGTGTAAACTGATACTAGGAGGATAATGGATTAAAAGGAATATATCTTGACATGTTCAAAAAGTCTTGGACATGTGTATTAGCACAGCATTGATTCTTGAAATTGATTTTGTTTTTATCTCCATTTATTAAACTGTTTGGTATGAGGTAAAGTTGTACCATATGACTTTGAAAAAAATCCTTTTCAAAAATGAAAAAAAATAAATGTTGCAATCTGCATGTTCTTGTAGAAAACAACTGGAGTTTAGGTATTAAAACACTTGGATTTATAAAGATATGACCTTGACACCACATTCCTCCTTCAATTTGGTAGGGTTAGGGTTTTTTTCTTTTTTGTGGTAGAAAAGAAATAGAGTATGTTACTCTTGATGATGTTTCAATAAAGTAAGTTGATCAAAACACACAGGCAAGTGATGCAAATAGAGATGTTTCCCTCACCCTCCATTTTAGTTAAACAAAAAGTGGAATGTTTTATACTGATAGTTTCAAAGATCTCTCACATAGTTGGACATAAAGATTCTGTGTGTAGGAGTGTTAAAATATATATATATATATATATATATATATATATATATATTTGTAAATTGTGTAATGCACAAATCCACTGTAGATCATAGCCACTTCCAGTTGTATTGGCTTGGGAAAGGTTTATTTCATTTAGGAAAGGAGATATTTGAAAAATCAGGGGCACAGGTTAACATTTTGGCAAAACTGGATTTTTATATATATATATATATATATAATGTTGTATTTAGGCAGCCATCCTTCATTTATGCAGGTTTCATTAAAAACAACAGACAAGGTACTACAATTAAGCTTTTTATTTAATTTTTCTTGTGTTCGAACAAGTCCTTTCTTTTCTGCACACAGTGTGTAGAAACTGTCCAAATGTTCTATAATTCTGAGTACTTTTTAGCATATATATTTTTTAGCCATTATCAGGATGATTTTATTAATAATATTAACTATGAACATGGAGGCATTTTCATTGCTAACTGTGTCAGAAGAAAAATAAAACATCTCTATAACACTAAAAACATACACACAATGCACACCCTCAATTATATTGAAAAAATAAAATCATCCTTGATTCTGGCTAAAAGTCTAGCCAAAGGCGCTCAGAATTATAGAACATTTGGACAGTTTCTATGCACTCTGTGTCCAAAAAAGAAAACACTTCTCAATGAACACAAGAAAATTAAAAAAGAGCTTAATCTGTTATTTATCTTGTCTGTCGTTTTTAATGAAACATGCATAAATGAAGGAAATATATATTAAATAATTTTATATATATCTTACTTATTATAAAACGCAGATTGTGTGTGTGTCTGTCTATACGTTTATATATTAGATTGGATTTCCTACATTTTTCAACCAATTTCAACAAAACTTCACAGGACCACATACAATTACCTTGTGGGGGTTCTGACAGTGCCAAAAATTGGAAAAACACAATTGTTTTTGCACAAAATCAATTTGAAAACACGATAAAACACGATTCTGTCACCAGAATGAAAGGGGGGACAACTCATCTCAAGTTATACTTATTATAAAACCCAGGTTGTTTTGTGTGTGTGTGTGTGTTTTATATATGGGATCAGATTTCCTACATTTTTCAACCGATTTCAACAAAACTTCACTTTTTTTTTTTTGGCAGGTAGTGTTTTTTATTGTCTTGTACACTTTTTTCTTTATTTTTACATTCAGAATGCTTTAAAAATTCCATTTACAAGACAATTGTTTATAATAAAATTCTATTCAATCGGTAGACTCATAACAATTGAAAACAATGTTTTTGTTTGAGTTTGGGTTTGACCAATTCGTAAAAAAAAAAAAAAAAAAAAAAAAAAACTAATTAAGACATGCGTGTCCGTCAACCTTAAACAATAATCTTTGTCAATTTTATTTTTCAGTCTTTATGATGGTCGATACTTGATCTATCTCTTACTGTTACATCCCCGGGCAACGCCAGGCTCTACTGCTAGTATATATATATATATATATATATATATAAAATCCAGTTTTTCCAAAATGTTAACCTGTGCCCATAATTTTTCAAATATCTCCTTTCCTAAAAGAAATACACCTTTCCCAAGCCAATACAACATAGGAGTGGATTTTTGCATTACACAATTTACAGTATTGGAGTGAGTTACTCTCCTTTGCTTGGTGATGAACCTTTTTGAAAGTCCATCACTGTGTTTCTGTTGCAGGATTGACTCTCTCACAGGAACAAGTCCTTTTGAAAATATACCCCCTTATGTAATGGAAACCACTGTACAACCCACTGTGCTTTTAGATACTCTGCCATGAAGGATTTCATGACGAAGCAAGATTGACCTAATCTTCTCAAGATCTTTTAAAGCTCCTATCTGCTAGCTTTTATTTTTGTGTCGAGTATGTAAACAAAATAATTTTTGATGAATTAATGGATTTTTATCTGTAGTCCGACATTTCTCATTACTGCCGTTTTTCACCTGGAAAATGCCTTCAAAAATTAACCTGTGATTTTCACTGGAAGGTCAAGTTGTAGAGAGGAGTTTGTCAGCCTTCATGTCACAAGATACAATCACAATCTTCAGACACATAAGCCTACAATTATATAATAAAACATTGTATATCCCTTTAGTATAGGAGTAGAGGTTTATTCCTGGTTTCCAGTTTAAGATTGGGTTTCCTGGTTCCTTCTAAAGTCTTTTCATTCTCTTTCACTCCCAGTATTTTATAAATTAGCGTCTTAGTGGTATTATCACCTTCCTTGGGGTGAATTGATTATTAAAAAAAATAAATATATATTGCTTTTTAGTATTGATCATAACCAGTAGGCAGTTTCCTATCAGTACTGTAAGTTTTTTGTTCATCTAGACATTATCATTCATATGTAATAAATAGCATATATACCATTAGTATCATACCATATAGTTTTGTTTTTTCTTTTTAGTATTGATCATAACCAGTAGGCAGTTTCCTATTGGTACTGTAAGTCTTTTGTTGATCTAGACATAATGTATTAACTGTTTTACTAAATTAGGTAATGTTAATTATTGTAATAATATAAATGGATAGTCAAAAATCACACAGTAATAGCTGACTGGGGTTGGGACGATACAAAAGCAATATGTGATTTGCATTCTTGAATGCAACCCTAAGCATCAGCTGCAAGTTGGACATAAACAGGCCATGTATTGGAACAGCTTGTGGTAGCAAATTAAATTTGTTTCCAATGTGAATAGGTTTAAAACTGTGCTAAACTATTGAAAATCTACTTTATAATAATCATGAATATTTAATAATACGAGCAAAATGTGATAGTTGTGACAGAAAGAAAAATGACACTGTACAAACAGCAACTTAAACTTGCTAGTACAGTAAACTATATTAAATCCTCTGTCTGTATTTCTGAGATGAGGTACTGTAATTATTTACATTGTTGGGACTGCTGGCCTCATCTTTATTGCCATATTCACAATGTTTCAGCTGTTGTACACTTTGGTCTTCTTCAGGATCTGTCTATATTTCTAAGATGAGGTATTGTAATTATTTACATTGTTGGGACTGTTGGCCTCATCTTTATTGCCATATTCACAATGGTCTTCTTCAGGATCTGTCTATATTTCTA